AGTGTCTGCTGAAGTTGCTCTGCCCCTTCGGTTCTTAATCTCTCCATTTGTGGAGAAAGACATTGGGTGTCTGGACTCTCGTGAATTGCCTTTTCTCCTCTCAGAACTATAGGGAAGCTGGAGCCATCCTACGTTATTCGGAAGTTCCTGGACGCTCAGCGTATACACAACCTGACTGCTTATCTGCAGACTCTCCACCTACAGTCCCTGGCCAATGCAGACCATACCACACTTCTGCTGAATTGTTACACCAAACTCAAAGACAGCTCCAAGCTCGAGGAGTTCATCAAGGTAAGTGTGGAAGAGAACTGGAAATACTGTGAGGTTGTTAGATTACCGTGATAATTGAAATCGTATTGGTTCCTCAGCAGGCTTTTCATGAGAATTATTATTATTATTATCATCATTACTAAGGAGAAAAAAAAAAAAAAAAAAAAAAAGGAGGTGGAGCGGAAGGAGGAAAATGGCTGAGAGGCATTTTCCTTCAGCACCTTTATCTTTGCTCCTTTATTTCCAAGCTCTCTGCCTCATTCTGGGTTAGGCTTTCTTGCCACTTCACTTTGGAGTGTGCTAGCTTTGGCCATTGTGACTAGCAGTCTACAGAGGGATGATGATTAGAGTGTTCCATTTCTGCATGAGGAGAGCCGAGATGTCGCTGCTGTGCTTTTCCCCCATCTACCTAAACCGTGGCTACCTGTGGCTCATGGGAATAATCAGGGGCCGCCTTTCTGCCTCTGTTCTCGTAGACTAGTGAGAGCGAGGTGCGCTTTGATGTGGAGACAGCGATCAAGGTACTTCGTCAAGCAGGTTACTACTCCCATGCCGTGTACCTGGCAGAGAAGCATGCACATCATGAATGGTACCTCAAAATCCAGCTAGAGGACATTAAGGTGAGGAGCTGCCTTTGCTCATGGCTTTACTGCTGGGAATACAGGTTGTCAGCAGCGGAACTTCTCCATGGGCTTTTCTGTGGACTTCCATGGGTATGGGCTCCGCTAGGACTGTTCAGGCAGCAGTAGAAATACTTGCTGTTTTTGCTTATGCATTTGTGCTCTGCCTACGGCTGGTGCAGTAGAGCTCAGCCCTGACTTGTTGTAGAGCCCCTTGAGAGAAGGGTGGGTCTTTAGTGAGAGACCAATCTAAATCACAGTCTCCTTCTGCCAGCTCATGGCCAGTTTGCCTCCCCGAGGACAAAGTCAGCAGGAGTAGGGAACTAAGCAGTAACTCAAAGCAAATGCAAAGATGAGGTATACCTTCATGGTGTATTTGCAGCACGTCTTCAGTGCTCTCTGTGGCCTTAGTAGAGGTGTAACATCAGAATGGATAGCAGGTGCCCGTGTCATATGGTTCTTGCTGGCTGCCTCCACAGAACTACCAGGAGGCCTTGGGGTACATTGGAAAGCTGCCTTTTGAGCAAGCAGAGAGCAACATGAAGCGGTACGGTAAGATCCTGATGCACCATGTCCCTAACGAGACCACAGAATTGCTGAAGATACTTTGCACTGACTACCGGCCATCAGGAGACAAAGAAGGCTCTGGGATGCTGGAAGGAAAAAAGGTAGGGCTCGCACCGACTGCGACGGGTCGCTCTAGAGCAGCGAGTTTGTGGCCAGCGGATGCCCCTACATGCTTTGTGGTGCAGGCCTGACATCTTAGGTGTAGCGAAAAGACCTGTCCTGGCGTCAGCACCAGAGACGAGGGACTCCCTGACGCTGCTGCTCTGTACTGCTTGCAGCTCTGTACTGAGTACTCATCTCGTACCAGAGATGGTGGAGGTGACGACTGTACGTGTTGAGAAAGAAGCAGCCGTCTGGCTTCTCCTGGCCTGGGCACCTAACTTTTTCTGGGCTCTATTACAGGCTAATTCCGAGGAGTTCATTCCAGTGTTTGCAAACAACTCTCGAGAACTAAAGGCTTTTCTGGAGCACATGACTGAAGTGCAGTCTGACTCCCCACAAGGCGTCTATGACACATTGCTTGAACTTCAGCTTCAGAACTGGGCACATGAACAAGATGAGCAGGTTTGGACTCCTCCAGCTTTGTGCTTTGAGAGGGAGCTTTGGTGTCTGGAGAACCCGTTTGCATTCCTGCTGGCCTGTAAGCAGGAACAGAGGGTGGTGTTATGAGGAAGCAGTACATACGCTGTTCCTGGCAAATAAGCAAATGAGAAAGCGGTCTGCTACCTGGAAGAGGACTCCTTTTAAAAAGGCTGAGCTCCTTTTCTCTGAGTCTCGTTTAAGCGTGGATTCCTGGATTAAGCAGTCTCATGGATTCCTGAGAGTACAGCCTCTGAGAGCAGGTAGCTCACTGCACAAAAGCAGCTGTGTATGCTTGCCCTCACCGCTGAGAATTTTGGTTATTGGGGCCAAAGAAATTGTGTCCTCCTTCCTTAATGGGGCTAGAGGATAAATGGGAGAACTGCACTTTAGCAGAGCTACAGCTTGTCATCAGGCTTATGTGTGTATTTATCGCCCTCTGCCCTGGTTCTTTGCAGATAAAGGAGAAGCTGCACAATGAAGCCATCACCCTCCTCAAGAGTGGAAGGTTCAAAACAGTCTTTGACAAGGCCCTGGTCTTATGTCAGATGCACAATTTCAAGGATGGAGTTCTCTACCTCTATGAACAGGGAAAACTGTGAGTATTGCTCTTCTCCCCAAGTTTTTCATCCTCTGCCACACGGAAGCTGAGCCATAGATAAGTCTTCCGGCCCTAGAAAAGTGAGACTCTCTTGAGCGTCTCGAGACAGGAACTGTCGATCGTGGCTCAGCTGAAAGTCTCCTAATGTTGTAGCAAGGCATTGACGTGGGGAGTGTGTGACAGGCCAGTGTTGCCTTCTGTGGCGGTCTGGCGATTCGTGTGGCAAGTCGCAAACCACGGGTGTCTCTGACAGTTCGTACCCTGAGGTGGTTGTATAACTGATCTGCTCCCTTCTCCTTTAGTTTCCAGCAGATCATGCACTACCACATGCAGAATGAGCAGTACAAGAAGGTGATTGAGGTGTGCGAGTTGTACGGAGACCAAGAGGCTTGCCTCTGGGAGCAGGCTCTTGGCTACTTTGCACGGAAGGAAGAAGACTGCAAGGAGTATATTGCAGCAGTGCTGAAACACATTGAGAGCAAGAATCTTATGCCTCCGCTGCTCGGTAATACTGAGACGTGCCCCCCAGCTCCCCCAAAATCGGTTAATAGCACCCTAGAAGGCTGCAAGGTATCAGTGAAGTTGGAGCCTGCCACTCAAATTACTGGCCTGCCCTGTAGGGACCAGCGATGCTGGTGACGTGGGGACAAGCGTGTGGTTTCAGCTGCACGGGTGCCTGGGCCTCTTTATGTTCCGTCCTGTCAGTGAGGGAGGTGGAGGATTTGCCCAGACTCCCGCTGTGGATCAGCTGTGCTCTGTCCCTTGTCCCGGCTCTGTCCCAGTCACGGAAGCACGTCAGCTGCCACGGCCCTCAAAAGGCCACGTGTAAGCCGAGGCCTTAAGTGATGTTTGTCATTCAGTAGAAGTATGGAACCTCTTTGCCTGTAAGTGACCCATCTCAAAGAAAAGAGGTCCCTCTCAGCAAGAGTAGTGTCACTGCAGCTTTTTGCCTGCTTTTAAACTAACGTGTTGGTTGTCTTCAGTCGTGCAGACTCTGGCTCATAACTCTACAGCCACGCTGTCTGTGATTAAGGATTATCTTGTCAACAAACTGCAGAAGCAGAGCCGACAAATTGAGCAGGACGAGCAGAGAATTCAAAAATACCGCGAGGAAACCACGAGGATCCGCCAGGAGATCGAGGAGCTAAAAGCAAGGTGCGGCTCTCGGAGGCATCTTGTCTTCTACAGAGTAGAAAGTTCTTGTGTTCTGTTGAGAAAATCTACCTCCCCTTTTCCACCCTTCTCCTTCCCTCAGCCCCAAGATCTTCCAGAAGACAAAGTGCAGTATTTGCACCAGTGCCCTGGAGCTGCCTTCAGTGCACTTCCTGTGTGGCCATTCCTTCCACCAGCATTGCTTTGAAAGCTACTCTGAGAGCGACTCCGAATGCCCTACTTGCATGCCAGAGAATCGCAAAGTGATGGACATGATCCGCGCCCAGGAGCAGAAGAGAGATCTGCACGATCAGTTTCAGCATCAGGTAGGATCACGCACTGCCTGCCTTGCTCCCTGGAAATGAGCTTTGGCTTTCTTTGTGGGCTTGTCTTTGCGGTCCTAGTGGCCCAGATTAATGCGGTGCTCAGAGCTGGAGGGGCTGGCCGGGCAGCAGGTTTCCTCGACGCTCTGTTCGCGGTAGCGTTCGTGCTTTGCCTGCTCCGCCTGCCCGTGTTCGCTGCGCACAGTTCAGCTGGCCCCGTAGAGCAGCAGCAGCTCGGCTCGGGGAGGCAGCGCTGCTGGGGGCTGGCCCGCGCGCAGGGGAGCGGGCGGCCTGGCGCGCCCCTCTTGACCGTGCCCTCCGTGTCCCACAGCTCAAGTGCGCCAACGACGGCTTCTCGGTTGTCGCCGACTACTTCGGGCGCGGCGTGTTCAACAAGCTCACCCTCATCACCGACCTGCCGGCCAGAGCGGCGCCGAGCATCGAGGCGGGGCTGCAGCGCGAGCTGCTGCTGCCCGCGCGGCGCGGCACCTGAGCGCGGCGCGGCACCTGAGCGCGGCGCGGCACCTGAGCGCGGCGCGGCACCTGAGCGC